ATATTAATATTAACCTACAATTAGACAGTCATCTACTATAAAATCCATATTGTAATAATAATAATAATAATAATAATAATAACAATAATAATAATAATAATAATAATAACAATAATAATAATAATAATTTTTTAATTCACTGAGCACTGTTCTGAGTGGGGGGGGGGGGGGAATGCTGTAGGAGTAGCTATTCCCCCTAGAAATACAGTCAATAGTACTCTAAAGACAATCAGAGGCTTACCCTTCACTTTATGGCTGTGTATTGTTGCCAATGACCAGCACCATAATAGTACTGTACAGCCTATCACTACACCAAGAAAAGATTAAACACGAAAAATTTCAATTCAAAGGAATGGAGAAGTGGGAGGAAGAGGAGGAGGAGGAAGAGAGGAAGAGGAAGAGGGGAGAGGAGGAGGGAGGAGGAGGAGGAGGAGGTGGAGGAGGAGGAGGAGGAAGAGGAGGTGGAAGAGGAGGGAGGAAGAAGAGACTATCTATAGACATTTATCATCATAAAATGGTTTCACAGTTTAATGACATTTAGTAATATAACTTATTGTTCTGTTATAGATTCTTGCTTAACATAAACCCATTACAATAATTCAACAAGCAATACTTTGCAACAATTTTTAGGTTTACACTATTTGCCAGTTTTAAGATCACACATTACAGATTCTCACTGACCCCACATCCTTATAGTTAGCTCTGAATAATGATCTAAGTCTTATTTTTTTAGTAATAGCACACCTTGCTTTATATGACAATAATGGCCTTAGATCTGATTAAAACTTAAGACATGGGTAGACACAAAATAGCTTAACACAAAAGACGTGATGTGACATTTATGTATTTATTTAACAAAACTTCAATCAAGAGCTTGCCACTGTTTATCACCAACTATTAAGAGATTTATTTTCTCCTGTGCGGATATCAAGTATTGGTTCGGAAATAATTTAACATTTCTGGATAAGGAATTTTTTAAAATAAAGCAAAGACATCTAACTGGGGACCTATTTACACCCTATCCTCTAAGCAAGCCAGTTACAATACTGTCCTTCTCAGGCTCTTTTACTTACCACTCAGCAGCTTTCCTCCATACAAAAACAAAAATATTTAGCATTTACTTGTCTATTGTTTTAATTTCATGTATTATACAAGTGACAGAAATAATTATATTCATAATATTCTTTTATTTTTGACGCAAAGTGTAAAGTAATATGATGGGGTGGGGTGGGGGGCCAAGTTGTTAATACTCGTTTGGTAGTTTCCTCATCCATGTACCTATACTATACGCTAACTAACTCAATTTAACCCCCTCCTCCCCCCTCTCTCCGGGACGGTCCCCTTAACTTTTAAATATCCAGGGACAGATGATAGAAAGAGGAGCAAGTATGAAAGATTTTGGAGAAATTAGGAACCCTACACTCCTATGTGGGGTCCCTGGTACATTTGCTATTTCAGTCTTGCAGTCTTTACATGATTAATTAAGCCAATACTTCATCTTTAAAGAATATCACTTACATTTTCTTTTTCAATTATTATTACTTTTTTTTTGTAATGAATGTAATAGTCAAGGGGTGTCATACTCTTTGTCTACAGGCTAATTGTGTCCCCTGGAATGATTGTAGGCCTATTATTAACCTTTGAAATTCTGATCGCCATGAGGGAAAATAACACCATATACAATTTGTTAACATTAGCATCACCATTTAAAATCTGACAAGTATTATAAGCTTTCTGTAGAAGTACAAAATACCAATTTTGGTCATTTTTTCTATTAGCTGCACATAACAAATCTTGGTTTTGATATCGTTGGATTCCTCTCACTCTAGTTTCCAAAATATAGAAATTATTGCGTGGAAATCCCCTATACCCTCCCCTGATAGCAGGGGAGGGTATGAAAGGTACCACAGAAATTGTGGAGTAAAATATGAATAATATACCCAGAATCAGTCCCTATATTGTCTAATGCAGGGGGCTGTGTTCCTTGTGACCCCCCATGGAGGTCTCCTACCCCCAACCTCCACCAAGAAAAACAAAGAATCCTCTATGTATTCACGGCAGGAAAGAGCATCAGACAGACTTCGCAATGCTGTTCCTGCATATATATTGTATACTCTCTTGCAGTGAATACATGAAGGATCCTTTGTTTTCCTAGGCAGGGGTTAGGGGGTAGGAACCCCCCCATGGGAGGTTGCTGCCCCCTAACTATATAACTTAACCGATATAGTAACGGATTATATGTATATTATTTACATTTTACCCCACAATTTCCCTGGTACTTTTCATACCCTCCCCTGCTATTGGGGCCAAGAATGTGGGAGTTGGGGAGGTTTTGTGCAATAAAACCTACATGTTTGCATTATAGACGGAGAGAGGAATCCAAAGTTACCAAAATTGCCACAATCCGTTATGTGGACGTATTAAAAAAAATCAAGAGACCATAAGCCTTCTCTCAAACCATCTCAAATGTGAACAATACTGAGCTTTCTGAAAAGTACGGTGTAATACCCCTAGGAAAGGGGGTCCGGGGGCTTGCCCCCCTATTAAGTATGCTTCATTTGTACGGCGAAATACCCTCCCCAAGGAAAGGGATCCATGGCTTGCCCCCAGTAAGGAATTATCCCAGGGAAGGGGGTCTAGGGGCTTGCCCCTGGTAGGGAAATAGTCCAAGGAAGGGGGTCAGGTTTGGTTAAGAAATTTCATCAGGATTTTGGCAACAATGATACTGGCGTGTTGCATCTTGCGGTGGCGCTGGCCTTTTGTTCAGATTTTGCCTTTATTTTATTTTTTATTTTTTCCAAAAATCTACCTTGTGATCCCACTATTTCTCCTGTATGTGCCCCCCCCCTTCAAACCCCGATTCTCCAAGGCTTCCGCAAGATTGAAGGGGGTAGGGAAATTTTTTTTTTTTTAAATAGGCGTAGCTGTCTTACTTATAATTATTCACATTATATCTACTGATCAATCTCCATGCATGGTATTGAAATTTGGTTCATGTGACAATGACCTTTGTTTACATTCCTTTCTCTTAGAACTTCAGGTATATTCATGATAAGGTTTTAATGCTACTGTTCTCTGTGCATTAGTTCATTACATCTACATATACATAAATTTTCTTCTACATATACATGCCTATACATATATTTTTTTCTGTCGGTCAACACCCACGTAAACAAAGGCCTAATTTAAGGTAAATTTGCCCTTCAGTTCTGTAATTCTTTTACTCATTCAATTTTCCCGACCGATAGATTTACCATATACTAGTTAATAAACAAAAGCTTGCGTCGAAGGCAAAATCAAGCCCAAAACAACTTCACCTGCGAGTGACTCATGAGCGCGGCCGTCTCCAGGGATCCACCCACACCCCCCCAGCACTCGCTGCCCATCGCACTCATGCACTTTTCATCTCCTTGCCGATCTTTGTTCAACGCTGGTATCAGGAATTATTATTTCTATTACTCACAAGCGTCATTCGTGACTGTCAAAATAATGGGCCTACCTTTAGCAGCTACGATGTTGCTAGCGCGGATCTGAGCGGGTTTTTCTTTATCCTTGAATTCAGACTTGCTCTTCCCACCGGACCTAGCTGGCATTGCCTTGACCGACATGATGGATTGTGCTAACGTTGGGCTTTCCGAATATTTAAGAGACGACGGGGATCGGCCTCAATGTTTGCAGATGATTGCAGATATAATTGAAGTATTTCACTACTTTCGTCTGCAGCGGTTCTGTGCCGCCGTCTGCGCCCGGTTTGTTTAGGTGTCGTACCGCCGGCGGCAAAGTGTCGCACTGTATATCGTATTATTATTATCATGATTATATGCACTGTTTTTTGCTTACTATGAAATCGTATTCTAAAATCATTATGGACATAAGATTCTTGGTCTTTAGAAACTGAGAATTTCAAGAGACAAGTAACCCACACATTAGAGGACGAGATAAGAAGTGCATTTAAGTTATATTACTAATTCACGCCTAAGAAATTATGCATACTCTCATATAAAAAGAGTGGGCTAAATTAACTAATATCCGTGTGCATAAAAAGATTAACATATATATGCAATGAGGAGAACGTGAATCTACAGGTAAATATAATTGACAGTTAGTAATCTTGGCCGTTATCGTACATCACACGTGCGGTGTTCGAGAAGGTCCTAGAAGTCGAAGTATTTGGAAGTTGACAGATGCTAGCGTCCATGCCTCACTTTAGTTGAATACATGGCAAAAGGTATAGCCAAGGTACACTGAGCAATTAACTTTAGACATAATAATCTAAAGTCAATGTTTTCCTATGCTAGAGAGAGGATGATGCATAAAAACCAGCCATGCTATGTAAAGATGTCGATACAGACATCCGTATTCATGGTGGAATTTTAGTAGCTATTGTGGTAAAAAAAAAAGACAGCTTAGATCAATTAATTTTCAAAATCAGTACAAGTCATATTGATAAAGCAACTCGGTTTCCATGACCACCGCAAAGGGTACAAGTACATAGCTACTGACTCCGACTTCGGCCTCGGGACAGTCCTTCATATATTTATATGACATATATGCATGGGGTTAATATGAATAACACCCATTTAAAATATATATCTAGCAACTGTCTCACTATGTTTTTTTTTATATAAACATGTCACATTAGTCTTATTCACCTTTCCAAGAAAAAGTACACCAAACAATGACGAGTAACCTATGCCATGACCCAATAAGGCAGTGTTTCAGTAATATGATAAAAGGAATATTTATGATAATGATAAGATAAAACACCGAATGGAATCACCAAACAAACAAAACAATAAGAAGTACAATTTAACATTTATATGAAATTAAGAATTATGATGAAAAGAAATAAGAATAAGTAATTAATTGAAAAATACTCAAAAGAGTTTATTTATTTTGTTGAAAACCCATGATAGTTATCTCTTACTATGAATAACAATCCAGTAAAACAATAACAATAATAAAACAAATTTTTCGAAGAAAAAAATCACACGATGGGATTCGGACGCGCGGGTGAATAATGGTAAACAAACTCGCGATGGAGGACAAAAATCAGGAAAATATCGAGAATAAGGACATAAATCAGGAGAATAAGGACAATAACCAGGACACTACCTCGCCGGAATATGACCCTAGTAAGACCTATCCTCTTGACCTCTTATGGAAAGAAGAGAGATAGAGAATGAAGAGGAGAAGAGGAAGGAGAGACGTTTTTTTATGATTTGATATATTTATTTATTTTATTGACTTATTTATTCGATACTTTTGTTTTCCGCATTTCTCTTTGCTGGTTCCTTAGAGTGCCGTAATGGTTAGATATAAGAAACTTTGAAAGTAGTTATGGTAACAGAAATAAGGTAAAAATAACAGGTATTCGGAAAATGCCTTTTAAGGATATTTTGAAGGAGATGTTACTTGCTCCTCTTGTTTTTCTCGCTACTAGAATCAACAGTTTCGATAATAAATTAAAATAAGTTGCTTTGAGTTATATCTAAGGGGGAGTTCTTTGTTTGCAGGGGGTTGAAGTGAAGTCTCCCTTTGTTTTGCTTACTTTGTACACTGGAACCCATCTGTACCCATCCTATCATGGTATCCTTTTCAAATTTAGTCAGCATAACTAACCTACCCCATCCCAGTTTATTCCTTTCATCACTACTGTGACCTGGTATGATTAAAGGAAGTTATTTATCCAGTGCAAACTATACCTAACTTATGTTGCCATGCTTTATCTTACTAGTCCTCAGCTAACCCAAGCTAATATAATCAAATCAGATATATTATAATCTGAGTCTTGATTCAACCTGGGTGAACTTCATCTGTTGGGCTGACTCTGGTTTCAGATTTGACCATGGATTTGTTATTTATTTATTTAACTGTATAATGAATTTATTATATGATTAATAGATTATACATTTACATAAGTACACACACACACACACACACACACACACACACACACACACACACCACACACACACACACACACACACACACACACACACACACACACACACACACACACACACACACATATACACACACATACACACACACACACACCACACAACACACACATACATACACATATATATATATACACACATGCATACACACATGCATATACATATGCATACATACATGCATACACATATGCATACACATATGCATACACATATGCATACATACATGCATACATACATACATACATACATACATACACATATACATACATACATACATACATACATACATACATACACACACACACACACACATACATACATACATACATACATACATACATACATACATACATACATACATACATACATACATACATACATACACACACACACACACACACACACACACACATACATACACACACACATACATACATACATACATACATACATGCATACATACATACATACATACATACATACATACATACATACATACATACATACACACACACACACACACACACACACACACACACACACACACACACACACACACACACACACACACACACACACACACACACACAAATACACACACACACAAATACACACACATACAGATATTTATATTCATATTCATATTCATATTTGTATATTGGTCTTCCCTTCTCGTTTGATGGAAGTCAGTGTTTTTCCGTTTTACTAGGGCAGCCAAGTTTTGTACAGCTGGTATAACAACTTACATAAAAAACAGAAAAACATGGACCTGCTTGAGACACAAAGCCAAGCACACAGACTCACAATCATGTACAAGATCACACAAAAAAAAAAAAACTATGACATTAACAAACATGAATTCCTACATTTAGCAGACGAAACTCACATAACAGTAAGTTCCCTACATACAACACCAATGCCAACTCTTACCAGCACTCTTTCTTTCCATTTACCATATGCGACTGACCAACACATCATGAAAACAAGAATGCTCAGAGTGAGAGAGACAAACTGAACAAACACATACCACTATTAGCACCTTCACAAACACCAACACTAGCACTTATACCTTAATGCTTTCCCCAGCAGCCAACCAAATATGTGTGATATATGTGTGATATATGCATACAAACACTCTGTGCATTATCATTAAGATTGAGATTGGTATTTGGGTATCTGCAATTGGAATGTGGAAACATGATAATTCACAGAATACTGAAATATGTACCAATTGATCATACAGTAGGAAGGCATGTATATGTATGTTCCTCTTTCTTGACTTCTAAGATGAGCTCATCTAAGTAGTCAGTTCAGCTTTGTAGAGTGGGAAGCAGGAATAGTGAAAGGCTAAAATAGCAGCTTAATTTAGTATGAAAAACAACAAATATGTGAAACCAAATTAATTTTACAGAGAAGTTGTGACTGATTGCTTAGTTCATAATCAGAAGAAGCAAAATGCAGTTCAAAATGTAGTGATGTAATCTGCATAGAAAAAAAAATTAGATTGAGTATTTTCAAATTTAAAAACCCATTGTGAGGGGTAACTCATTTGAACTAATTTTATTTATTTGCCCCTTATCTGTCCTGTGCTTTTTAACATCTACTGGTGCATAATTGCCTAACAAAAAGTTGTTTCATTATTTAGAGCATAAATGAGCCATTCTAAGCAGCTTTTCTAGTTGAACTCCAGATAATTGTATTCCTCATTTTAGGAGAGGGACACCATCAAGATCTAAACTCTGGGTGGCAACTAAGGTGGATTTTTGTAGAACTCATAGAAACATGGATCCAAGTAGAAATGGGCAATTAACAAAATAGAAAAAAGGAGGGAAGAAGGATAAAAGGCAGCCAGATAGAAGTAAAAAACAAAAAAGGGAAACAGGAGAAGTTGGGAGCATTGGGAGGGGTGGAGAGAGAGAGGGAGGGGGGGGGCATAGAAGTGAAGCCTGATGAAGATGAAAAAAAATGTAATTTTTTCTTTCATTCACAGATGTCAATCAAGATGAGCTTATCATGGCACAGGAAAAGCAAATTGCAGAGGAGGTGAGATTACTGAATTAGAATGCAAAGCTTTGTCTTTGTCACTTGCTCCATATGTAATGATGGGATGCATTAAGGTCTTGCATCATAAGAAGATGCTGTCATATTTGAAAGAGAGTGAGTGAGTCGGTGAGTGAGTGAAGGAGATCATGAGAGGGAGAGGGAGAGAAAGAAGGAGATCATGAGATTGAGTGAAGAAGGAAAAGAGATAGCAAGAGAAATTGAGAGATAGTTGAGAGAGAAGAGAAGAAGAGAAAGAAAGATGAAGAGAAAGAAGATGAAGAGAAAGAAAGATGAAGAGAAGAAGATGAAGAGAAAGAAAGATGAAGAAAGAAGATAAAGAAAGAAAGATGAAGAGAAAGAAAGATGAGAGAAAGAAAGATGAAGAGAAAGAAAGATGAAGAGAAAGAAAGATGAAAGAGAAAGAAAGATAAAGAGAAAGAAGATGAAGAGAAAGAAAGATGAATAAGAAAGATGAAAGAGAAAAAAGATGAAGAGAAAGAAAGATGAAGAGAAAGAAAGATGAAGAGAAAGAAAGATGAAGAGAAAGAAAGATAAGAAAAATGAAGAGAAAGAAGATGAAGAGAAAGAAAGATGAAGAGAAAGAAAGATGAAAGATGAGAAAGAAAGATAGAAAGAAAGATGAAGAGAAAGAAAGAGAAAGAAAGAAAGATGAAAGAGAAAGAGAATAGAGAGAGAGAGAGAGAGAGAGAGAGAGAGAGAGAGAGAGAGAGAGAGAGAGAGAGAGAGAGAGAGAGAGAGAGAGAGAGAGAGAGAGAATAGGGAGATAGAGAGAAAGAAGATCATGATAAAGAGTGAGAAAGAGATAGAGAGAGAAATTGAAGGACAACAGATTGAAAGAGAGGAAGAGAGAAAGTGAGAACGAGAGACAGCAGAGAGAGAGAGAAGAGAGAGAGAGAGAGAGAGAGAGAGGAGAGAGAGAGAGAGAGAGAGAGAGAGAGAGAGAGAGAGAGAGAGAGAGAGAGAGAGAGAGAGAGAGAGAGAGAGAGAGAGGAGAGAGAGAGAGAGAGAGAGAGAGAGAAGAGAGAGAGAGTGTGAGTGAGTGTGAGTGTGAGTGTGAGTGTGAGTGTGAGTGTGAGTGTGTTGCGTGTGCGTGTGCGTGTGCGTGTGTTGCGTGTGCGTGTGCGTGTGCGTGTGCGTGTGCGTGCGTGTGCGTGTGCGTGTGCGTGTGCGTGTGCGTGTGCGTGTGCGTGTGCGTGTGCGTGTGCGTGTGCGTGTGCGTGTGCGTGTGCGTGTGCGTGTGTGTGTGTGTGTGTGTGAGAGTGTGAGAAGTGTGTTGAGAGAGTGTGTGTAGAGAGAGTGTGTGTATGAGAGAGTGTATGTATGGGGGTGAAAGAGAGAAGAAGAGAGAGAGAGAGAGAGAGAGAGAGAGAGAGAGAGAGAGAGAGAGAGAGAGAAGAGAGAGAGAGAGAGAGAGAGAGAGAGAGAGAGAGAGAGAGAGAGAGAGAGAGAGAGAGAAGAGAGAGAGAGAGAGAAGAGAGAGAGAGAGAGAGAGAGAGAGAGAGAGAGAGAGAGAGAGAGAGAGAGAGAGAGAGAGAGAGAGGGAGAGAGAGGGAGGGAGGGAAGGGAGGGGGGAGAGGGAGGGAGGAGGGAGGGAGGGAGGGAGGGAGGGAGGGGAGAGGGAGAGAGAGAGAGAGGGAGAAGCGGGAGAGAGGGAGAGAGGGAGAGAGGGAGAGAGGAGAGAGAGAGAGAGAGAGAGAGAGAGAGAGAGAGAGAGAGAGAGAGAGAGAGAGAGAGAGAGAGAGAGAAGAGAGAGAGAGAGAGAGAGAGAGAGAGAGAGAGAGAGATTGAGAGGGGGGTGAGAATTTGGGTGAGAAAGAGAAACGAAGGGGATGAGAATGAGAGATAGAGGTGGTGAGAAAGAGAGAGGAGTGAAAAGAAAATAGAGAGAGGGGTGAAAGAAAGAGAGAGAGGTTGGGGATTGAAAGAAAGAGAGAGAAGGGCTGAGAAAGAGAGGGAGAAGGGAATAGGAGATAGAGAGAAAGAAGATCATGGATAAAGAGGAGAAAGAGATAGAGAGAGAAATTTGGAAAGGACAATAAGATTGAAAGAGAAGGAAGAGAGAAAAGGAAGAAAACGAGAGACAGCAGGTGAGAGAGAGAGAGAGAGAGAGAGAGAGAGGAGAGAGAGAGAAGAGAGAGAGAAGGAGAGAAGAGAGGAGAGGGAGAGAGAGGAGGGAAGGAGAGAGGAGAGAGGGAGGGAGGGAGGGAGGAGAAAGGGATGGGGGGAGGGAGGGAGAGGAGGTGGAGGGAGGAGAAGCGGAGGGGAGGAGAAGGGAGGGAAGGGAGGGGATTAGAAGAAGTGGGGGTGAAAAGAGAGAGAGAGAGGAGAGAGAGGTGAAGAGAGAGAGAGAGGTGGGGGTGAAAGAGGGAGAGAAGTGGGGTGAAAGAAGAGAGAGAGAGTGGGGGGGAGAGGAGTGAGGAGAGGTGGGGGTGAAAGAGAGAGAGAGACGGTGGGGGTGAAGAGGGGAGAGACGGAGAGAGGGGGGAGCAACGAGGAGAGAGATTGGAGAAGAGGTGGGGGATGGGGGGTGAAGAGAGAGAGAGAACACGAGAGAGAGAGAGAGTAGAAGAGAGAAGTGGGAGTAGACAGAGAGAAGAGAGAGAGAGGAGGAGAAGAGAGAGAGAGAGAGAGAGAAGAGAGAGAAGAGAGAGAGGAGAGGGAGAAGGGAGAGAAGGAGAAGGAAAGGGAGGAGACAGAGAGAAGGAGAGGGTGAGAGGAAACCGAGAATTAGCAGAAAGAAGAGTGAAAAGAGAGAGAGGCAGGATGGAGGGGAGGGGTGAAAGACCCCAGAAGCCCAGAAGAAGAAGGAGAAGGGAAGAAAGAGGAGAGTTAGAAGTTACACAATTCCCAGATAAAGGCATAAGATAAACAGCATATGGTGAAGGAAACTAGAGGATTAAGATTTGTCAATCCCTGTATTTACCATCTTTGTTATTACACAATTCCAACAGATAAAGGCAAAGACAGCTATGGTGGGAACTTTAGAGAGTTTGTCGTCGCTGGAAAAAGAATACTCACATGACCCAGTGTACTCAAGCAAGGTGAGAGTTTAAGGTAGTGTCAGTTAGAGAGGACTGGCAGACAACTTGGAAAACTTTCAGTGAGATAGGAAAATGTTATGAGAATAGTATGAAATGCATTATACAGAAATCTGAATAATATGTGTATATATTTATTTGTTTTTGTTGTTATTTTGTTTTGTTTCTTATTATTCTTTTCCATTTTTATAGTAGATATGTAAAACCAGCATTTTTGTAATTCATGGCTTTTCTTATATAACACAAACAGGTTGTGACTCTAATGCCCAAGTTCTCCAATGTCCGGCGCACCAGACCAGATGGGAACTGTTTTCTAAGGGGGTTTATCTTCGCTTACCTTGAATACTGCATCCATCATAGGGAGGAATTGTCCAGGTAACCAGCATTGTCAGCCTTAGGGTCGTGGACCACTCAAAGATAGGGGGGAAGGAGTCTCCTGCCTTTTACATATTTCTATCATCTGCTTCTTTTGCTTTCTTCTTAATTTTTCAATATCTTCTTTATTTCCCTTTCCTGCTCCTTCTCTTACTTCTCCATCTTCTTTTTTTTATGGTCTATATGTGTGAGCAATTTCTGGGAAATTCTGCATTAGTTAGTA